TACAAAAGGGGGCATGGTGGGACTAGGTGGAAGCTGGAAACAGAGAGAGAGTCTTTCTCTTTTCCAGGTGCTTTTAAAACTTATGCTAATGTATGGGAAGGGAAGAACCTGGTGATTCCCAAAGAATAATCAATAAGTGGGGAGGTAGGGTATGAATAACCTATGCACATTTGCAATTGAAAAGAAGTCTCAGAGAAAGAGGACTGTCCAACCTGAAATACAATATTAACTCATATTTTCTAAAAGTCCCAAACTTTCCCTCAAGATCTTATTACTGCCTGCCTCAAGATCTTATTACTGTGTCTATTAAAATGTAAAAATTACTTTTAAATTAAAATTAAGCCAATGTCTTCTCTTCTCACTCTTCACTTTGGCTGATTTAATGGTACTGCAATTTCATTATCTTAATAGCCCAATTCATTTAATAAACAATTCATGATACTCTTAAATTTTATGTAGCTTAAAGGCAAAGGACCTCACCACGTTTCTTTTTCCTGCAATGTTTCTGATCAAGCTGATGACAATAGCTATAGAATGACTATGATTCATGTACCTATTTTATAAAAAGCACAATTTCTCTTCATATAAAGATTTTTTTGAAAGAATATAATCTGTCCAAATATATATATGGCAAAAATATAAAAATGTAATATTAAACTCCTTTCTGCCTGAGGACAAAATAATCTATACACATGTTGCTTGGCAATAAACTTTGTGTTTTGTAACAGGGTAAAGCCTGGTCATGAAGAGCTAGAGAGGCCAAATTCCTCCACATGAAGAAAAAAGGATGGAAAAATACCAAGAAAATGTTCTAAAGAGGGGCCAAGCAGTTTGGATGTTTAGAAAAGCAAGGGCAATTTAGAGGACTGAGTGTTCTCAAAATTTATGTGCATCAGATTCACCTGGGAATGTCAGCGAATCATAACTGATTATTAAATGAATGCTGAAACACAGATTGCTTGGCTCTATCCCCAGAGTTTCTGTTTCATTTGGTGCAAGGCACTTGGCTTAATACTTTGCATTGCTAACAGGTTCCCAGCTGAGTCTAATGTTGCTGGGCCAGGGAGGGCACCTTATGGAGGAGGATGTTTTAGAAGCTTTCCTTTGGGTTATATCATGTTTCTTTCTAGCTGGCTAGTCATCCCTGTTTATTTGAGACTAGGGGATTTCTCTGGCCTGAGACTTTTCAAGCTAAAACTGGAAAGTCTCCAGAAAACCAAGAAGATTTGTCCACCATGGCTTATTTTCAACATACTTATTGTAAAATGTTTGCTAACACTTTTAAACCAAATTTTGGTGTGTGCTTCCTTTTATTTAAAACTTTGCTGTAGGTAGAATTGTCATCTAAAACCGAGAAACATCACTGTAATTATCCAGTGGTCAAGGTTTTGTTTCAGCAACAAGTAAAAAAGGGCTCAGTTAGAGACAGGATGTTACTTGGACTAACACTTCAAAGTCAGAAACTACTCACTCAAATTCCTCGGTTGTCATACTAGCAAGCTTTGGGGAAATCCACTATTCAAGAATGGTTGTTTCACAGGTTGAACAGTGCTATGTAAATTCATCAATTTAAGAATGTCTAAATTGGTCAAGACAGGCTGACTTACATGGTGCTAATAAAAGCAAAATCTTGACAACTTCAGTCAAACAAAGCTTTATTTCTTGCCCATACTACCTATTCTGGAAATCCCAACAGAAATGATCCATTTGGCCATCACTTTTTGTATCATAATTCAAGTAGATAGCACAAAATAGAGAATTTACTTGATGTTCAGTGATGGGGAGATTGTTCATCCTAGTGATAATTCCTTTCTCACAAAATAAACATCCAGGGGAAAAGGGCATGAGAGGGTGAATATAGTGCAAATACTGTGTATACATGTGTATAAATGAAAAAATGATACCTGATGAAACTACTCCAGGAATGGACATGGTGAGGAGGGATAAAGGAGAATGGTGGAGGGGTAAATTCAAGTATGATATATTTGATACATTGAAGGACTTTTGTAAATGCCACAATGTGCCACCACGAAGCACAATAATAAAAAAAAGAAAAACAAAACAAAATAAACATGCTTGGAAAATGGGGTTGGAATCCTTAATGGAGAATATAAGTTGAATGTTTTAGAAGATAGATCTAGTGAGATATAACTTAACTTCATTAAAATAACCAAAGGTTGCTATTATAATGGGAAGTCTTGATTTAAGGGCAAAACTTGGGAACATTTTATAGGTTTTGAAGGATGTGGATAAGTGACTATAGCTTCATCAATTTGTAGATTGTAACAGTAACTCACTGACAAACTAGGAGAGCATTCTAGGAGGATCTTCTTATTAGGCCCATAGGACTTCTTATAGTCTTAGGTGGTAGGTTTGACTTGGATGGTTTCCAAGTTTGATGATGATTATTCAGTGGTTTGAGAGAGTACTCAGAATCTAGATTCTTTTTTTTTTTTTTTTTTTTGCAGTCCTGGGGATTGAACCTGGGGCCTTTTGCTTTCTACCACTTGAGTCATGTCTCTAGTCCTTTTGTTTTTATTTTGCTTTTGGGATAGGTTCTCTTCCTAGGCTGGCCTTGAATCATTACCCTCCTGCCTCAACCTCCCAAGTAGCTGGGATTACAGATGTCTACCACCATGGCTGTCTAGAATCTAGTTATTTTACAATGCTCTGCAGCATGTTTTGATGTGAACATTTTTTTTAATGAAACTTGTATTTTTCTACTTGGTTGATGAAAGCAGAGGAAGATAGAATGTAAACTTAAATGTATTGAGACTAATGAAAAAAACCATTCGGTTCCATATAAATTGTACATTATTTTAAATCCTAAAATTATGGAGCTATTTTAGTATTTTTGGTCTGATGTTCTAATTCCTATTCCTTGCTCAGACAGTAATTTCAGGCAAATCACTTATTTAACTTTAGCTTTTTCTGTAAAACGAAGTTAGGTATATAATTAATAAAAATCCCTAGCAGTTCTAAAACTTCATACTTCTTGAAACTTTCCAATTAACTCAAACGAATATATGGAGTAAGTAAAGGGCTCAGAAGTTTAACATAAGGTCTTGGTAGCATTTATTATGAGAAAAATGTATAGCCTGAATGTCTACCCTTCTTCTCCTGTTACTGGAAAGTTTAGCTCTGGTGTGTACCTTGATTCTTGTGTCTGGCAACAGAATTCAGGTGAGACATGAAGATGATAGTAAAGTTTATTAGGAAAGTAGTAACTTTACTAGACTAAATGCTGGTCATCTCTAGAGTGAGAGTGACAGTATCAGCATTTGAAGCTGGGATATTTACTGAGGAATCCTCAGCCCCAGGTCCATCTGGGCCCTAGGATGAGCTCCTGGGCCTGGTTCTTAACCCTTGATCTATCTGTGTGAAATTCTATCTGATGGAGATTACCTGTGTGAAACTCTCAGCCCCTAGTCTATAGCATGCCTAGGATGTAGTACATGGGCCTGAGTCTTAATCTTGTTAAAGAGGGAGGGGGCAGAGTGGGTGGTAAGGGAGAGGGTGGGGGCAGGGGGGAGAAATGACCCAAGCCTTGTATGCACATATGAATAAAAAAAAAAAGAGATTATGGGTGTGAAACTCCCAGCCCCAGGCCTAGTTGATGTTTAGGTTGTAGTTTTACAATGGATAAAGAAAGGACAGACTTCAAAACCTCCTGTGATATCCCTGGCCTTGACTGGCTACTTTGATCTTAACAGAGACTTCACCAATAGAATCAGGAAATTTAATTATAAGGATTTTCTTCTCTTGGGCCACTGCTTATGTCTACTTATCTTAAATAGATAAGTATAGCAGGGATTCAATAATCAAACGGAAGATAATGTCAGGAAAGCTAAGCATCACAGAGTAGGAACCTAACATAGTTTTATTCAAATATTTTCTTATTATTATTGAGAAAACTAAGTAGAGACTAAATGGGGAATCGGTTACCTTTGAGAAAAATTTATTTAAATTGAAAATTTCCTTAGCGTTGAGGGAAAGAACTGAACTGAAAACCCTGAGGTTTTCAGGAAATCCTGAAACTCTAAAGCAAATCCTGACTACTTCCTGATGTACTGTTGCCAAACTCAACCTGGTCGAGGTTCCTAGAGATCACTTTTCTACAAAACACTGCCAACTCTGCTCAAGGCAAAATTACACAACATAATTTATCTTCAAATAATTCTTCACCCCTGCCCCCAACCCCAATCCTAGAATACAGAACTGTGCCAGATCTACACAGACTACAAAAGTCTACACCTTTATGTGAACACCAAGGCTCATATTCATGATTAGGAGAAAACGGACGCTGCAGTGGATATTAATGACAACCGAATTTACACGCACAGAATTCTCCCTTACCTAACTTACCTCTAGTTTTAAAATCGAATCCCCCTCCACCTCCTAGAGTGCTGAAATCTGGCTATCAGAATGCACACTGAATGCTAATTTAGCTAAATTCTGTTTGACAGCGTCTACATTTTGAAACCGTCTCTTTTAACCTAAAAAGTCCTGTAAGTGGTGAAGTTCTTTCGGTAGTGAAGTTTCCAGTTCCTCCAGTTTTCATCTGAAAGTATCAATCTTTGCTCTCAAAATCTTTGCTCCTTTTCTGCTCTCCAAAGTTGATGGAATGAAATGTGGAATGAAGGTCTTAGACATTCAGATCACTGGAGAAAGGGAACAGAATAACTGGATGGGAAATGCAAAGTTCTAGAGCTTGGGGATTGCAAATGTGGGGCAATCTCGCCATCTTCTGGTGAGGCATGGGAACCAGTAGGAAAAAAAGCGGATCGCGGTTTTAGGACTTGATTTCTTTTCAAAACACCAAACCCGCAACTCCCTCGCCCAAGAACCGCCCCCCAGCACCCGCCCCTGCAGGAGGCTCTGACCACTCCGTGCGCCCTCGGTAATATGATTGACAAGGCAACAGTCCGGTCCGTTACATAAACTCTTCACTCCGGAAACAGTGACCGGATCCTTCCGGCCCGCGCTCTCCCGGCATCCTTTGCCTTCCGGCTCTGCTAGGTCCCGTTCGGCCAGTCCCGCCTTGCGCGCCGGTTTCGAGCCGGAGTTTCAAGCTCTGCTTTCGGGGCAGGATTTTCCAGGCCTGGGCTCTTGGACAGTAGCTGTGGGGGCAGGAATGGCGCAGCTGGAGGGCTACTATTTCTCAGCTGCCATGAGCTGCACCTTTTTAGTGTCTTGCCTCCTCTTCTCTGCCTTCAGCCGGGCGCTGCGAGAGCCCTACATGGACGAGATCTTCCACCTGCCGCAGGCGCAGCGCTACTGTGAGGGCCATTTCTCCCTCTCGCAGGTGGGGTCCCCACCCTGTCCCCACCCCGCGACAGCTCAGAGGCCCAGCATCCCCAGCACCGCCCATCCTTTATCCTTAGTTCTCTCCCGGTCCCACCCTCTCAGCCTCGGAATGGGAAAGGAACTGGGTAGTCATGTTGTGCCTGAGATCTGTGAAAAATCTGAACGGAATCAGTGACAGGTGACCAGTCTCTTAGCAAAGAATGACGTGAGAGAATAACCAATGGGGAGCGCAGCCATGGCTCCTCCCTTTGGCAACTGACAGCACCTATCCCTTTGGCTTCCCTTGTCCCAGGATTAGAGGCTTTAGGGCGGTGCTTGAAAATATCGGAAAGCCGCTTTAGCTTGCCTGTAAAGCACCTCAATCTTGAGTAGTGTGGAAGTGGAATGCGAGGATCTTCAGCCACCAAAGAGTGACAGTTACACTAATTTCGTCCCTGTAAACATATCTCTCCTTCTGATGACACAGTATGGGGTAGTGGTTTGAAATATGGTCGGAAGAAACCTGATTTAAAATCTTAGTGCTGTTGACATTTACTAGTTTAGTACCCTTGGAAATTTTGTGAGTTTCAAGCTATTCACTTGGAATATGACAGTAATAACAGTATCTAACTTAGGATTGTTGCAATATTAAAAACAGAAGGTTTAGTACAATTCCCGGAATAGTATGTGGTAGCTGTCATTATGGAGTCTATAGTGCAGTCTCTTCAAACACTTATGTGTCTCTAAACCCACCAGTATTCCAACTGATGTTTGCATGGTTTGTAAAACTGGAGCCGTTGCAATTTACTCATCAAATACAGGCTTTCTAAAGAGCAGATGTGGGAAAATAGAAACATATTTTACCCCATTATCTGTTGGTTGCTGATATCTTAGCAATTACAAACAGGTTGAGGGTCAAAAAAATAAGCAAAACTTTCCCTTAGTGGAGGCATCTAATCTGTCAATACTTATTTAACCATGTCATAGAATAAGGTCTCAAAATTCTTCATCGTTGGTACATAAGAAACTTGAATTTCACATATTTGTGTCTATTCTGTCAGCATGACCTCTTGCTTCTTCTTCATTGTTGGCCTTCATTTTTAAGTGGGATCCCATGATTACTACATTACCTGGCTTGTACCTGGTGTCAGTTGGAGTAGTCAAACCTGCCAGCTGGGTCTTTGGATGGTCTGAACATATTGTCTGCTCCATTGGAATGCTCAGATTCGTTAATCTCCTCTTCAGTGTTGGCAACTTCTATTTGCTATATCTGCTTTTTCGAAAGTTACAACCCAGAAACAAGGTATGTCTCAAGATAATTTATTACAAGTTTATGCACAGCCAGGTCAACAATTATAAATTGGGTTTATGAGATTTATTAAAAAATGCCTAACACTTAACATCTATATAATTTTGTAAAGGTAAAGTGAATCCTCCATCTCTGAAGAAATTTGTATTTAAATACTTGAGTAACTGTTTATAAATCTAAAGTAGATATTTGCTAGTGAGTTAAACCAGTTAAACAAATATTTACTGAGCTTACTCCATGTACTAGGCACTTGGGCCACAGAGACAAATGAGACAGTCTCTTCCTTGTGGAATTTTTATCTTATTTAGGGGAAACAGACATTATCTGAGGAATCTTGATGTGACTTAATAACACAGGCTCTAGAGGTGGATTGCTTGCTTTTGAATTCTATCCCTGCCACTGTTATGTATGTTATCATGGACAGATTACCCTTTTGTGAATCTATGTCTTCATCTATAAATAGGAATAATAGAGTTTACCTCATTAAATTGTTATGCAAAGTAAAGGAGCCAAATAAATGGAAGGTGATTAGGCTAGGACTGCCTGACATAGTAAGGATGCAGCCTAAGTCATTGCTTATTGAAGATACTAAGACTTAAGCTCAGGGGACGGAGCCACCCACATTGTGTCCTGGTCATCTTTCTGTTCCTCAGAATACTCAGTTCAGTGTTTTCCACCCAATAATTTCTTAGGTATTTGTTGAGCGATTCAAAATATTTTAAGCCTTAAGACCTTTGGCACAACATGCATTGTTTTAGTGCTTTCAGCTGACAAATGTAACTAAAAAGTACTAGAAGATGTGTTCTTATAAATATATATTGTGGTTTCGCAAAGCCAAAAATAGGATTAATATCGCACAATTTTCTTTAAATAGGCTGGAGTAGTTTTATTTTTTTTAATTTTTTCATTTGTTCAGCAGGAATACTATATTTATTTTGTCATGAAATAATTTTAACTGCTGTGTGTGGTTTTCTTTTCCCCTCCAAGGCTGCCTCAAGCATCCAGAGAATCTTGTCAACATTAACACTAGCAGTATTTCCAATACTCTATTTTTTTAACTTTCTTTATTACACAGATACAGGATCTGTGTTCTTTACTCTTTTTGCCTATTTGATGTGTCTTTATGGAAATCATAAAACTTCAGCCTTGCTTGGATTTTGTGGCTTCATGTTTCGTCAAACAAATATCATCTGGGTTGTCTTCTGCGCAGGACATGTCATTGCACAGAAGTTAACTGATGCTTGGAAAACTGAGCTACAAAAGAAGAAGGAAGAAAGACTCCCCCCAATTAAAGGACCATTTTCAGAATTCAGAAAAATTCTTCAGTTTCTTTTGGTATATTCCATGTCATTTAAGAACCTGAGTATGCTTTTCTTTATGACTTGGCCCTACATCCTTCTGGTATTTTTGTTTTGTGCTTTTGTAGTAGTTAATGGCGGAATTGTTATTGGTGATCGGAGTAGTCATGAAGCCTGCCTTCATTTTCCTCAGTTATTCTACTTTTTCTCCTTTACTCTCTTTTTTTCCTTCCCTCACCTATTATCTCCTACCAAAATGAAGACTTTTCTTTGTTTGGTTTGGAAACGTAGAATGCAGTTTTTTGTGATTACCTTAGTCTCAATATTTTTTGTTTGGAAATTCACATATGTTCATAAATACCTGCTAGCAGACAATAGACATTATACATTCTATGTGTGGAAAAGAGTTTTTCAAAGATATGAAATTGTGAAATATTTGTTAGTCCCAATCTATATTTTTGCTGGTTGGACTATAGCTGACTCTTTAAAATCAAAATCAATTTTCTGGAATTTAATGTTCTTCATATGCTTGGTCACTTCTACAGTTCCCCAGAAACTGCTAGAATTCCGTTACTTCATTTTACCTTATGTTATTTATAGGCTTAACATACCTCTGCCATCCATATCCAGACTTGTTTGTGAACTGGGTTGCTATGTAATTGTTAATTTTTTAACTTTTTATATCTTTCTGAATAAGACTTTTCAGTGGCCAGATAATCAGGACAGTCAAAGGTTTATGTGGTAATATAAGAATATTTTGAATTTTAGAAGCAGACTTGATATTTGTACTGTTCCCACAATGAATAACTGAATACAGAGAAATTACAGTATTTCTTTTAGGCACAATGGTAATCCTCACATCACATCAGATTTTTTGTATATGTTTTCCCATATATAAGAAATCTAAGATAGTTAAGTGTAAAGAGCTGAGAAAATTTGCATCCTGCCTCAAAAGCCTGAAAAATGGGAAAATAAAATGTTTACAATTATCTCACGATAGCTCTGATATTGCTAGCTACTCAGAAGGCTTGAACACTTTTTGTATATACAAGTTTAGAAAATTGGGTATGCTTCATAGTATTGTAACTAATGTACTGATGAAGAAGGAAGAGCAAAGTATTTGAAAAATATTTACAAATGATCCAGCAATACTTGTGATTGAAAAGTTGTTTGACATTTCAGTAAATATAATTTTAATCATGTTATAATAGAGTTGCATCAATAGTAACTTGTAAACTAGAGGTTGATGTGTTTATTTATGAATCAAGTTGTTGGTTTTTATTTAAAAATCTAGAAATGATGAAGCTGTTTCACTAATTACTAATATGAAATGTATAAAGGCCAAAGATAAATTGTGTTGATTATAATACCACTTAAAGAGATTTTCTTTCTGAAATACATTACTATATTAGTTTACTAGGGCTGCTGTAAAAAATGACCACCAACTTGGTGGCTTAAAATATTTTCTCTCACATTTATATGAACCAGAGTGTGAAGTCAAAATGTCAAGCACAGGTTTGGGAACCATCTGGAGACCCAGGTAACTTCATTATTTTTATTTATTTATTTTTTGCTATGGACACATCAATCCAGGCTCTTTCTCTACCTTGAATGGCTTTCTCCCTCATTTTCTTTCTAAGGATGAGGTCATTGGTTTCACTCCAATACAGGGTGATCTCATCTGGAGATCCTTTATTAACTATAATGACCTCTTCCAAATAAGGTGACTTTCATGGGTTCTGTGTACACATCTTTTTGTGGGGCAAAAAAGGATATTTTAGGATAAATCTCATGAGGTTTTTAGGAGATAGTATCTTTGTTGAGATCTTCTAAATAAAATTTTGTCTTTACTGAGATGTTTAAAAAAAAGACTTCCAAGATTATATAAATGTAAATCAAATTGATACTTGATTCTGTTATCAAAAATGTTAGAATTGAAAGGTAAGAAATTATTTGATCTAACTTTATTTTGTAGATTAGATCATACAAAAGGGTAGATTTTTTTATGTCATATTTTGGGTTCTGTGTTTACTAATTTCAGTGCACTCATTAGGTTGTCATTTTATTATAGGAATTCTATAATACAATGTTAACTTTGACATGTAAACTTGCAGCTGTGAATGCAGCTCATCTTTTAACTTAATTTTACCTTTCTGTACTTTAAAACCATATCTATAGATACAAACAAACCACTTCTACCTTTCATTGTTGGATTATGCTTTCTCTGGGTTTTAAGTAATATGTAGACTTAGAAAGTATTTGGTGTTTATAAGTATAAAATTGTGTGCAGGTAAAAATTGCAAATGTAGTCTTGAGTAAAACATAGAGAGCATTATTTTACGTACTTTACTTAGAAAGTAGATTGACTCAATTATAACTGATTATAACGACAAATGTATGTTCTGAGAGTAGGAGGTCAAAATTGAAAAAAATATATATTTTAGGAAAACCAACTTTCTTGTCTGATACTATTAAATGCATGGCTTTTGTATTTAGAAATATTTCTGAGAGGAAAAGCTTTCTACTCTAACCTTCTCCAGCAGATACAGGGAGCCCACTTAAAAACTCATGGTTGGAGAAGACTACTTTATTCATTTTTAAGTGTTGAGTCATTTCTGTTTTAAGAGATGTTTTGGACAAACATTATGAGGTAAACTGGTGAATCTTCTCCATTTTCCATAGAATATGTAATAAAATATAGTACTTAGCATTTTATAAAAGATTGCCATGAGTTAAAAGGTGCTATTTTAATTTTTAAACAGGGATGCTTATCAGTACTTTTGAGTTTAAGATAGATGTTTTGGTTAGGTTTTCTTGACCAGTTAGAAGATGACCATTTACTGGTGAATTTTTAAGATCTGTAACAGATAAATGAGTATGTGTGAGAGGCAAGCTCACTGTACCAAACTCATCCCTGTGAGATCATTTCACTGGAAAAGACTCAGAGGCTTTACATCCTTGCTTTTATAAACTTTCTAAGTTATGTTTCTGTTTTAAACTTTTTTCAAGAGTTATCAGGTAAATATTTTTGTCTTGAATTTTAAAAATTATACTTAATTGAATTTCTTGATTAAAAAGTGGTTATGAAAAGTATATTGCCCTGCTGGAGAGTATGTGAAGCCTTATAGTCATTGTTCTTAGTCTATGAATGGGATTATTTTAGAGTTCATGGAAAAATCTAGTCCATAAATTGTTTCAGGCTTAGTAATCATTTTGAGCTAGTTCTGCTCTATGTGAAAATCTATAAATATAGACTATTTTAGCATTAGTAAGATTCCAGTATACTGTATGTTTACTCACATTTATGTATTGTCTTAGTAGTTACTCAGAAATCTTTTATAACTGCACCCAATTATATATCTAAATGATTCAGAAATACAGTGCTTCTTACTTTAAGGATAATGTATCACCTTAGCAAGACAAATTATTTTAGTTTTCTGGCTTGTTCTCAGATTCCTTTGTGGAATTTGCTTAGCTTGTTATAAAATACCTTACTATAAGTAATGTAATTTATTTTAATAAATAAATTACTTAATATACAATGTATTTCGAGTTTGAATTTAACTGCCATTTGGCTTGACATTATCTTCTTCATACCTGACTAAAGAAAAGAGATCCACAATTTTTATTTATATCCTGTAAATAGTGGGCTAATATTTTGGACCCACTTATAAATAAAAAATGTGTTCCTATAAAGACATAAACTCATGTTTATTAGGTTAGAAATCATTTTCATCCTTGAAGCAATTAGAATTTCATCAAGTAGTAAAACAAGAAGTGTGATGTAAATATGACAGTATTTTTTCTAATAGAAGTCAAAATGAGCTTGTGGAAAAAGCATCTAACCTGTGGGTTAGGATTTTTGTATTTGACTATGGTTCTGGAATCAGTAAGGCATGTTGTTTAAGACTCAGTATTTGGTTCTCATTTCAAATGAGTACTATTTGTCCCAACTCTGGTTAATGTTTGTCATGGGTCTAGCCTTATTTCAAAATAAATTCATCCCCTGCTATGTATTCATAAAGTTTATAGACATGTCAAGTGATAAACATTGAGTAAGTGTATACAGAATGGAGTTTTAGAATAGAATGAAGCAAATATCCCAGGAAAAATAGCCTGTAGAACCATAGCTAATTTTAGGAAATAAATCATTTCATAATGAGAACCATATTTCCACCTAATTTTCTGACAGTGTTAAAATTTTTTCCTATAGTATTTAATACTTATGCATATGTTAACTTGTAAAAATGTTGTATGTGGTTTTTATAATAGGATATGCTTTCAAAGTTATTGCTATTTAAAGTATGAAAAGTAACTTAATCATTAAATTACAACAGTTGAATTTTTGATGGTTTATAAAACTCAAGGGAAAAGAAATTTCAGCCAATTTTAACTATTTTGTGTTGTTTTGTTAACCTGCATTTACTACCCTAAGAATAACAGTTTTCTTTTATATAGGGTTTTTTTAATGTATTTAAATGTTGATGACACACATTTTCAGTATATATATTGAGAAGATTAGAGGTCCAGGATGTATTTTTAACATATATCCATAAGCTCAACACTAAATTCTTTAAGGTTTGAAAATTATTTCTTAGGTCAAGTGTATTTGATGATCTTGCCAAAGGAGCATAGATTTGTCTGACTTCCCAAACTATGAGTTTTTGACTATGCTGCTCTGCCTCATTGTGACAGTTGTTCATTAATAGCAACTTTTTTGTACTGTATGTCATTGCTAAAAATGCCAGAAACTTTTAAAAGGATTCTGAACAAAATTATGAGTGCTTATAGTTTTGTTGCAAGATAAATGGTGAAAAAATATGTATGGGATGCTGCCAAGCGCCAGTGGCTTAGACCTGTCATCCTAGCTACTCAGGAGGCAGAGATCAGGAGGATTGTGGTTGGAAGCCGACCTGTAAAAATAGTTTTCAAGACCCTATCTCAAAAATACCCAACACAAAACACGGCTGGTGAAGTGACGCGAGTGTTAGAGTGCCTGCCTAGCAAGTGTGAGGCCCTGCATTCAAACCCCAGGGACCACCAAAAAAAAAAAAAAAGAATATGGGATGTTTAACTTGGAAAGGCAGAGATTTGCTGGCTTAATAAACTCATATTTGAAAAGTAATTCTTTGAACGGATTGAACTTATTTGATATAGCTTGAAGTATAAATCAAGGGCCAATAGATTTCAGCTCATGAAAGGAGCACCCCAAATGTAAGTTCCCTATTTATTGGAGATAAAATTTTAATTATCAGAAATGCTTTAGCAGACAGATTCAAATAAGTTGGGTAAAATAGCTCTTAAATATGTCTTAAACCAGTTTTAAATTCGTAAATTTGTTAAACTTTTTATTGATCGGTAAGTCGTGGTAAAGTATTTCTGGTTACTTGCATTCTGTCTTTGATATAATTAAAATTTCTGGACAAAACTACTTTCAACTGTTCAGAGACAAATTTGAGGTAAACAACCTAGTCAGAAGTATCATAATGTTTCAATGTACTGGTCATATAGTATTTATTTTACATGTATTTTTTAAGCCCTCTTAAATCAGTGGAAGAATATGCTTTTTGAGAAGGTTCTCTTCACCCTATTGATAAATAGGCCAAGCAATATTTAGGAAATTTTAATGCAGTGTTCACTAGATGGTGATATTGTGCTGCATTTCTGAGTATTCTTGTATTAAACTTTTTTATTATTCTGAATTAAGCTTTTTTTATAGTTTTTTAATTGTTTTGAACCTGAATATTTATAATCATCCATGTCTATTGATTATGTTGTACTGGAAATTTTTCCTGAAACTAAGGTAAATGTAAAAAAAGCAAAAAGTTTTGTAATCATATATTAGATGATGTAACCTAACATATATTTTCCCATGTAACATTTTATATAAAGCATCTAGGATCATTTTCCACAAATAACAAGTGACAATTAGGATAAATTTCAAAAGTGATATAGCAATGTATTGTCCACTATATTCAGTGCTTTGTCCACTTA